TTGTAAAGAAAGAATTGCAGCTTGTGTTTCTAATAAAGGTTTGCAAGGGACAAAAAAAAAGAAAAGGTTGGCCTATGTAATCATTCCCCTTATTGATTGGCTGTGAGCAACGTCTGTCAAGTTCTCATTTCCGGTGTGCTCTGTTGCTTAGTTACAGCCCCTGTGCGCTCTGTCCGTCCTGTAAACAGAAGCTACTCAGATGCTTCGTTTAAATGTGTGCGGATATAAATGGTCCGAGTGATTGGTAGTCTCTGAAACCGCTCGTTCGGAGCCATGGCAGCTATAAAAGACGGAGAGTACACGGCCACCATCTACAAGCTGGTGAGAATACTGTGTGAGCGGAGGTTAGCTGCCTAGCTCAGTGTTGAACGAAGTTAGCGGTAACCAAACTGCGTCCACACATGTGATATTTTAGTGTTTCTTGCTTATTGAAACAATACACACAACATATAAGACTTTAGCAGGATTTAGTTTGAACTGCATGTACATTCGGCGTGGACATAACACAACCATCATCAAGTCGTTAGGTAGTAATTCAATCTGTCTGTCAAGTATGTCTAATTTAATCAAATCATGAAACTTTACTCCGTTAAATGAACACAAAGTTGTTTAAATCAGATCTGATCCAGCTTAGCGCATAACTTCATCTAAACTGCATATCAACAGTGATCTGATGTCAGGAGTGTTTACATTTCACATTCATAATTGAGGGGATTGCAATGATTGATCATTTCTGCCCATTCTCTTGTTACTTTTAGATTAAAGATGGCCATTATTTAGAGGCAATTCACATCCTAAACGGCCAGCTTCAAAAACATTCCAAGGTAAGTGTGGGATAACATTTTTCATTTGTAAAATGTACTGTATAACACAATCCAATACAATTGTATTAATGCCATATGTTAAGTCAAAAACAAGTTGCAAACATGGACTGACAAACATCCACAAAACGACTTCAGCACTTTCTAGAGCTAACACCTCTGCCAAGGTCCAGCACTTCCCTCGAATTGAATTAAGCTGTAGCAAATTTCACACACTCATAGAAATCAGTCCGCCAAATGTGCCTGTTTAGTTTGTTTTAAATCAAGATCCATGAATTATTATCTGGTAAATCAATGAAAATGTCAAAAACTGCCCTATCTAGAAAGAGAAAGAAGTGTCATGGATTTCCACCCCTTTCTCCAGATCTCGCAAAAAACGAACAAGGGTGAAAACATAACCTCTTGGCGGAGGTATATTCTCAACAATAAGAGCTGCTCAATTGCATTGAGCTGATAATATATTTTTCAAAGATCCACAGTTCTCTTATAAAGTCACATAATTGTCTTAAATTGTAATCATACTTTTTCATCAACATATCTCTATTAACAATTACGTTTTCATATATATTTTACATTTAACTCCCCCGTCATCTGAACTGTTATCCTACTTTGCTATCAACAACAGCTAAAACAGTTAAAACAGCCAATTAATGGATTAGTACCAGTTATTCTGGCATCTTCAAAATGAATCAAGATGAATCAGTATAGTAGTGGCAACTTTGTGATCATAATACAAAGACATCACGTTGAGCCTTCAGGATATTTGTTATGACAGTTTATTTTCAGACAAATGCTAAATCAAATAATTAAGAAAATAACAGTAACATTCATCAAAAAGGAATATTAGTTGCTTTTTTTGTTCAAACAACCACTTTTTTGTGCTGATTTATATTTAATTTTGAGAGGTTTTAGTGCTATGACAACAGCATACATCCTGGTTTACAGTCGATATTTTATGAAGGCTGGTCTGTATCTCTCTCTTACTTTATGTCCTAGTCCAGGGCAGCTCTGTCTCTGCTGGGCTACTGCTACTATCACATCCAGGAATTCCTCAACGCTGCAGAGTGCTATGAGCAGCTCACGCAGCTGCACCCAGAGGTGGAGGAGTACAAGGTGTACTACACACAGTCCCTCTACAAAGCTGGTGCTTATCCTGAGGCGAATAAGGCTTCCTTCGTACTGGACAACACCAGCAGTCACACCAAGGTACAACTCACACACACACGTTTGTACATACTTCTATCTTAGTCAGGACACTCATTGTCATAATACATTCCCTAGCCCTTTACTCTAACCTCAACCATAAGATCTAAATGCCTAACCCAAACCCTAACCTAACCCTAACCCTAAAACCAAGTCTTAACACTGTAATAGCCCATTAAAAATAGGTCAGAAATTGAGGACCGGCCAAAATGCCCTTACTTTCCCAAAATGTCCTCACCCTGTAGGTTGTAAGCTTAAAGTGGTCCTCACAAATATATTTGTACAAGAGCACACACACATACTCACACACAAAGCAAGTAAAGGTCATTAACACCTACTTCCATGTTAGCCGATGGGAGCTGGACCAAACTAAAAAAGTCTTAGTAAACATTAAATACATTTTTCATTCGGCTGGACTTAGGGTTAGGGTACCACTGGCTCCAAATAATTTCATTGGCGCAAGATGGTGGCACTCATATATTTTGGCTTCAGTTTTTGGGTGTGTCAATAATCTTTATATCCAGTCTGAGGTTTGGCCAAGTTGTACAATCACTGTTTCAGATTTACAGTACAAGAGCAACACACATTTATTTACATGTTTCCCTTTGTTTCCTTCATCACTGCTCAAAAGCAAACAAAGAAAACAAATGCATATGGACCAGAAATGTTCAACAAATGAAAAAAAAACAAACAAAATTTTGCATAACTGTGAAGCCGTTTTTATTATCAGCAGTCAAAATAACAGTCTTTAATTGGAATTTGGTTAATTTTGTCAATTTGATTATGTCATGTCCACAGAAGACGTAAGACTGTTGTGAAAAGAGTTCAAGGACATTGATTATGGATGAGAGAATTGAATCAGAGTCAGCCGTTGTTACAGCTTCATTTTACTTTGAGAGTCAACCCAGTGCACGGCTCATGTCATTTCCCTGTTTCACCTTCAGTTCATCCTCACTCTCTCTTGACCACTCCCTCTCTCTCTGGCACAGATGGTCAAGCTTCAAGCGTGCATCAAATATTGTGAGGAGGATTATTCTGCTTCCAAGGTAACTAGCTCGCACACATCATCTGTTAATACATGCATACATACACATCATTCAGAATGGAGGCAGGTTCATTACTACCAGCAACCAAACACACACTGATAGCACAACTACTGTAAATGCAGCTGTGTGTGTGTGTCTGTTTGTGTGCACAGTCCCTGTTGGAGCAGCTTCCCCAGGACGACCCAGACTACATCCACAATATAGGCTGTTTGCTTTACCAGGATGGAAAGTATGAGGAGGCCTGCAAGAAGATCATGTCAGCTATGCAAGTTGTGGGATACGTGCCAGGTAGTTTTCCAAAGACACACACGAGTACACACACTTAATTCAGGGGCTGCATCGTTCAGAGGACCCGGTTAACGCAGCTGACTTAGACTCCGTCCTTTATCGACAGCGTAGACTGCGTCAGCTGAACGAAATGAGACGGTCTGGTCTTCTTATTGCATCATCAGCTTCGGTTCTTTGGTTTATGGAAAACGAACATGTTTTTTTAACATGTGTACAAATAGCTGCCATTAGTTGCCAACATTCATCAGGCTTCTTTCCATGGCAAAGATGAACCTTTTAGTTTTGTGAGGAATGTATTCTTTTTTTCATAAGTTACTCCAGTATGTGTTATTTTTAAATGTCTTATTCTTTTTTGTGTGTGTTAATCAAGGTTTCTTTGTCTGTCTTCTTGTCCTCTCCCTCAGCGTTGTCCTACAACGTCGCTCTGTGTTTCTACAGCCTGAAGAACTATGCTCAGGCCCTCAAACACATAGGAGAGATCATAGAACGAGGCATGAGGGAACATCCAGGTAGTAACACATCACAGTGGCACTGCCATTATCTCATCTGTGTCACCTAGATCAACCACATCAGTCTGTTTCAGTCACAATATTTGATCAAAAGTCTTGGTTTGTCTGTCCACCAGAGCTAAGCGTTGGGATGACAACTGAAGGCATTGATGTCCACAGTGTGGGCAACACCCTGGTGCTGCAACAGACGGCCCTGATCGAAGCTTTTAACCTCAAAGCTGCCATCGAATATCAGCTGAAGAACTGTAAGAACCTCAGTCAGTGGCATTCAAACTGAGAGATGAAGGGAGGGATGAATAGTTGTTACTTACTACTTTACAACTGTTTTTAAGAAAGTGTTTACCTCCATGGAGACAATCTAATATTTTTGTTGCCCAGCCAAGCTTCACAATATTTATCATTACCAAAATAGCCTATTATCTTCAAAAGCAGAGTTCCCCTCTTTCGTTTCCTCCACCGTCTGACACGTTCTCAGAGCAACACCAGCAGCACAGTCTGCACAGAGACAAGACAGGATAGTAAAAGTGCCCGAGGCCATCTGAGCCCAGGTTATAGGGAAGATCCATAGACTGTAAATAAAGATGGACGCCATGACAGCTTCCAAAAGCAAACCCAAAGCGTCTCAATCACCCCTTGGTGGCCGGCTGCAGTATAGGTCATAAACCCTGTCTCCTCCCTGTTAGCAGATGAGACATGGACCAAACTAAAACATCCAAGTACACGTTAAATTCATTTATTTTAGGTAGTTCTTATCACACCAATGTATGTTCATGTTGCTGATACTTTTGGTTTACTCTTGCCATAACTAAACCACTTATTGCAACAAATGTAAATACAGTTTGGCTTAGAGATGAACAGTGATGATCAGTGAGGTGGGTGTCATATTTGAATAGACTGCCTTGATTTGAGAATGGCTGTGATAAGCCCCACACATTTCCTTTAAGAGGAAAGGTGCCTGACTGAATGGACTACAATCCGCTGGTTGTCAGTGGATTGTAACTGGGTAACGTCTGTGTCCTGCATTAACTAAAGCAAAGCATTTATTTTATTGTGTCAAAAATGATGGAGACGTCATGATTGACAACTGAGACTAACTTGCGATTAGTACATTTTGTGTCTATTCTCTGACTCCAAATGAGATCAGAGGCCAAAGTCCATCTTTATGTATAGTAAAGAAATGTAGGGGTTACCACTATGGAACAGAGACAGCAAACAACAAATCAACAATCTGGAAAACAATAACTGTCACACCATGAAGGAGACTCTTTTGTGAAAACTCTGTTAAACAAAAGGACAATGAATTTTGGAGAAACACATATGGAGCTCCACAGAGCTGATCGTAATCATGATCATAATCATAGTTAATCTCTTTTCTGTTCTGTTTCATTTCTAGTGGTCTGTAATGTTCTGCTTTCTCCTCTGTTATGTTTTCATGTCGACTGGTGCAGTGAAGAGAGCCCAGGAGTCTCTGACAGATATGCCCCCCAGAGCCGAAGAGGTAACCCTCACCTGTGTGTGTGCGTCTGTATCTGATAAGAGAAACTAATTAGAATAGAGACATAGACTTACATGGAGGTGATGATGATAGTTTATTGTCTTCCAACTGTCTCATTAAATTATTGTACAGATGAGACACTGTCGTGGGTCCAGTCTGCATCACAGTTATGGCTAAGCGTTTTAACTTGGGAGAAGGTTTACAACTAGTGCCCCCTAGTGAAATGTAGTAATGCATTTGTCCTGTCAGTATCAGGATGGAAACATAAGTAGCAACAAATAAAATGAATTAATGATTTCTCCTCTAATTTACTAACATTTCACACATGAAATACTAGAGACTGTTCCTGTTTTTACAAAGTTTTCATTTAAAACCTGCTCCCTTTTAAAAAGAACCTGTTTTGTCTAATTTTCTAATTTCTAATTTACAGAGGCATGAAACATACTGTATGTTATTTATACTCTTATTTGTGTTTTGTCAGGAGCTGGACCCAGTGACGCTCCACAACCAGGCTCTGGTGAACATGGACATGAAGCCATCAGAGGGTTTTGAGAAGTTGGCCTTCCTGCTGCAGCAGCCCTCCTTCCCCCCCGTCACTTTTGGAAACCTGCTGCTGCTTTACTGCAAACACGAGGTACACAGCAGGTGGCGCTGTATCTGGAAGGTGCACTGAACCCAGTGATTCAATGAACATGTGTGGCTTCCTCGAGACAGTTTTATCTGTGTTCTCTTATAAGAGAATCCTTTAGATATGGAGTTTGGCTTCAATCCTACATCCCTGTTCATACTTGAATTAAAAGCAATTCAGTTTTTTTGAATGGTGCTAAATCCAAACAGATTATCTCAAAGCCCTTAACATAGTGAGGTTAAGCCTTGACGATAATATATAGAGAAAAACCAACGGTTTCCACATTGAAATAACACTTGGTGACAGTGGAGAGAAAAAAAGGAGTTGTTAGAGAGGGTGTGGGTGCTGCCGTGTTACACATCATGCTAGGAAAGGAGGCATAACAAAAGATCTTATTGAGGCAAAATAGAACGTTTACACACCTTAAAAAGTCTGAACCAAGCTCAAAGTCTTTGTTATATTGTTCAAATTTGATCCAGTTAGTTTTGGTTGCACATTGTAATTCAGGCAACACTCTTATTTAAAATTTAAAATGTTGTAGTATTATTACCAGCATCGCCAACTTCAGGAGCACTACACGACACTATTGTTCAAACGTCCTCGTTGTTCAAACATTGTATCATCGGTTGTGAAGACTACAAGCAATCCTGTGAGCCGCTTCTGCTTGGATCTTGTCTTCTATTGGTCTCAATATCCTGCAATTGGTCTGAAAGTCCGAGCTGTCCTAAAAATGTGTTCATACCGTTAAAGAAATGACCATGGTTCAGATTGATCTGGACTGAGACTACATCTTTTGGTCTGTGAAAATGTTTGTCTGTTCAGCTGGGCCGTGGTCCGAGGAACCTTTCTTACATGTTATTTTAGTTTCAACTAAACTGAAAAGTCTGAAGACAAAAAAGGTATGTGTGAAGGAGCCCTGAGTGGTATCTTAGTTTTAAATGTTTTAGAAGTTTTTTAAAGCACAGTTATACATATGTTGTTCATGTTTTTGACTTTTCTTACCCTGAATAAAAGTATTTGGCAACTGCTTAACCAACAACTCCACATAGTTAACTTTATACCAGGTTTGTAATACTGAATATTGATAGTACAGGTCTTCATGACAGTGAATTATCAGCGCCCTCTGTGTGCTACACGAGGGACCATGTCAACATTTTCCACCACTCTGTAACAATTAACATTAACAGTATTTTTAAAAAGATTTGGCCTTGTAGTGTGATTCTCAGGGGAATGAGCTGAAAACACTCAGAGCGCCTCAGAGAGCTGTGGGTCTTAATGTCTCTGCATGGGTTCAATGTGTTTTCCTCCCTCAGTACTTTGACCTGGCGGCTGACGTCCTGGCAGAGAACGCCCATCTCACCTACAAGTTCCTGTCCCCAGTAAGTTTTAACAAAAATCTCCCTCAGTCCTGATCTACACAAATCATTTCTTCAACCCTCTGAACCCCCTCCCCCCCTCTGCCTCATTCTTGTAACAGTGGGTTTATTTATTTTCACTGCATCATGGAGTCCTGGAGGAAACGACGCAATCATGGCTAGAATTAGAGAGAACAGAAAACATTCTGTTTGTGCAGTCTAACATAGTTAAAATTCTACAAACCATTAAAGTGAAGGATGAATGCTGACTTTGTTTAATAATTTGTTCTACAAAACATTTAAATAAATGAGATAATTACACACACACACACACACAACATATAAATAAATGAAATAATTACACACACACACACACATATATATACATATGCATATATATATATGTGTTACCACCCTCCACGTACTGATCTATTTACATTTTTACGATCTCTATAAACACTGAATTTCTCGCAACTCTGCAGTATACTATTATCACATGCACTGTCGGAAAGTTTATTTTTGTTTTTACAGTTTCCTTGTGAATTATATATAAACACTGCCCAATCTTCCTCTCCTTTATAATCATGAACGTTTTCCAGTGACTGAATCCACATGAAAGCTGACAAAGCTGGTTTTTGTCCTTTTTCAGTACATGTATGAGTTTCTTGACGCCTTGTTGACCTGCCAGACAGCCCCAGAGGAGGTACAGTAAAGATAGTAGCAACTTTTAAATTAAAGCTGTGTTATTCAATATTGTTATTTTTACTGCTCAGTTGTGGTATTTTAATATCAATCAATAAAATCACAAATTTTCACATTTTGGTTTACGTTATTTGTCTGTTTCTTTCACAGGCGTTTAGGAAGTTTGATGAGATGAATGGCAAACTCACCGAGCAGCTGCGGAAATTGGCCAAGCAGGTTGTTTACTTTCTTCCTCCTCTTCCACTCTGAGCATTTGTGGTACTTTCATTATATATCTTTTATTTGTCATGTAGTGCACTGTACCTATATGTATGTTTAAATGGTATTCATTCAATTTTGAAGTGTTACATATCAAACATATGTCATATGCAAATACAGCTTTATCTGTCAGTTAATCCGTTTCCGTTTCAATAATAAGACATATTTTACTGTTACAGATTATATTGTTTTTGTTTTTATTCTCTAAGGTTCAGGAAGCCCGGCTGGCTCGAGATGATGAAGCACAGAAGAAAGCTCTGGCCGACTGCGAACAGATGCAGGAAAAGTGAGACACACACACACACACACACACACACACACACACACACACTAAACTGTGAGGGCACTCAATCCTGCTCTGAGAGTGGTGAGAGAATCAACTCACTGCAATCGGGGGTGTGTGGCACTGATTGGCGGGGATTAAGCCCAGGTGTGGGGAGCCTTCATATACCCTGAGTCTCCTGTGCTGACTCATTGTCTCACCTTCAGAGGCAGTGAGAGGTTCTCCCTGTTGTAAGTGTGTCTGAAAACACACCACTAAGAATTTTGCCTGTAGTTTTCCCAGTGAATAAGTTGGTGCTGAAGAGCGGACAATTTTAGTTTTTAGTCAGCTGCTTGGCAGTGGTGGTTTTGTTAATCATTTGTGATGCATTGTTTCTTTAAGGAAGCCTGTAGTGGCTCTATACAATTTTGTTGTTTTGTTTTTTCCCCCATTTCCAATCTATCGCTACTGCGATTTTTGTGGTTATCCTGGGATAGCTTAGAGATACCCCTGGGTCTGCACCTGTGTCCCATCCCCGACACTAAACAAAACCAAAAGTACTGTGTTCATGGAAGTATGGAAAGAAACACCATTACTCTTTACATATTATTATTCTCACTGTTAAATCAGCA